CAAACCGCCTCAATCACGCCGAGGTGCTAAAACTGAACGGTTTTGAAAGTTTCAGTGTCTAGATCAGACGGTTTTGTATTTGGAGGTCAAAATTAGACTAACATGATAGTTGAGGGCCAAGAGTGGACTTTTCAGTCTCCGATGACTGGCTCTAATAATGGCATCCAGGACAAGTAATCAGAGAGATTTTAAATTTTTTCGGTTGTCGCACGCAGGTGGGTGATATACTCCAGACTGACAGACATGGCTTTTATATTATCAATAAAGAGTCTTTAGGCCACCGGACTCTGACACATGCATGTTTTGGCGGAGAAGAGAAAGCGAAGACGACGATGACGACAGACAAAGGCAAGGAACGAACGCAACGGCAGCGCCCGGAAGGAAGGAGCCTAGGTGAGATGCGAACAAAAGCAAGCGCACCCCGTGAACGGAACAGATACTACAAGCTAATAGTCACCTGACGCTAGTAATTAGGAGATAGGAGTCCTCCTATTAGGCTAGGAGTATTTACTAAACCCAAAGCATACCGGACGCGCCGCCGCTGGCGCATCGTACGTCCGATCCGATAGATCCCAAACCGAACGATGGCGTGCGGGTGCGCCGTCCGATTCACGTGAACAGTGTTGCCGGGCAGAACAGTATTTTTCTCTCACGATAATCAGCCGAAACAATATTTTGATTTATTTTTCAGTCCTGCCGAACAAGCTGAAAGTTCAGAGCTGTCATATTGGATGTTACGTCGGGATGTCATATGAGATTGTTCGGATAGTAATAATAAGACAAATTATAGAAGTTCTCAGTAATCCACGAAACGAAGTCTAATTAATCTATCATTAGCATATATTTACTGTAGCTCCATATTGTTAAATCCTAGTCGCAATCTATGTAATTAGTTATTTTTTAGTCTATATTTAATACTCTATGCATCTATTTAAACATTTAATGTGATAGGAAATAAACTTTACGTGTAGGAACTTAAAAAAAAGGCTCAAGTCGATCGCTCGCACGTCCAACTCGCCGGCTGATGATCATCAGCCAGCTCCGCGGTCCATCCGTTTGCCGTGCGAAGCCTGCTGAACGCAGTACTGAAAGCCAGATCGGAGATCGCGTTGCATCGGCGGGGGCGTCCTATTCCTACGGACAGGCCAAATCAACAGAACCCTATATAGGAGTACTAGCTACTACTACTAATAATCAGTTATGATCGTCTCGTCGTGTATGTACAGTGTGTGTGGCAACGTCCATCGCCTGTTTATTTGTTTATAAGTCGTACTTTTTTAAACTAACGAATAATATTTTTTTTCAACAAATTAGCCAATAATATTTTCAGACATGACTTATCAGCCAAGCGAACAGGATACATGTCAAGAGCTTTAAAATTAGCTGTAGCTTTTTCCACGAAATCTAGCAGAAATTAAAGCGTTTTTAGCTCCTAGCGCTATTTGCTAGTGCCCTAGTGGGGATTTGTTTCAAAAATTTTCAACAACGGCCTCGGCAGTCCGCACTCGGCAGTCGGCAGGCAGCACCACTACATTTTTATTTTATTTTATTTTTCCCAGCCTGCACAACATCATCCTTCTTCTTCAAGGGCTACTCCAACGAAACATCGAGCCCCCGATGCAGAACACATGCACGGTTAAGGCCCCGTGGAGATCCAAAAAATTTTAGATTTTGGCTATTATAGCACTTTCGTTTTTATTTAGCAATTAGTGTTTAATTATGGATTAATTAGGTTTGAAAGTTTCGTCTCGCGATTTCTCACCCAACTGTGCAATTAGTTTTTTTTTTCGTCTACATTTAGTATTCCATACATGCGCCGTAAGATTCGATGTGACGAATACTGTGCAAAAAATTTTAGATTTTGGAGGGCATCTAAACGGGGCCTAAGACGATGGGCGTGGAGAGTACGGATTGCCCCGCCATCGGTCTCGGTCCGTCACCATCTTTACGCAGCCTAGCTTGACTTCCTCTGGTCCGTCACCATTATTGCATTCTGGGACGCCCGGCCCGGTCATTCGAAGAAAGAGACGCACACGCAACGACGAACCTATCTGGTTTTGAATTTCGACCGAGAGGACAAAGCCATTTTGTATTCCAGCTCGAAATTGGGGGACAGCCATTTGCTAGTACTAGTGTGATTCAGGGCCCGTCTGGATCCCCTTGGGATTCTAGGAATCGGGATTCTCAATAGGGATTTTAGAATCCAGATTTTAGATAACAAAAACTCGCTCCTGTTTGGATCCTGGATATTGAAGAGAGATTATAGCTATCTGAAGTCCTATTTTCCCATGATACCCTCAAGTATTTGTTCCTAACATCTTGCAGTTTTGCGTCAATTGCTAGCAAATGAACATGCACCCTAAGCTCTGCTTACAACCTGCAACACAATGGTACTCGTACCACGATCCACGACAAAAAGAAAGAGATGGCCACAATAGCTTCGGTACTGATACTGAGGGTAGAAAAGAAAAGTGGATGGGCAATGCTACGGTACCCCCGTTACCTACTAGAGGTAATACTTCAAACTAATCTAGGCCATTGGTTTTTTTAGATTTTTAAATTAATTTATTTATTACCCAAAAAAAGGAAAAAAAGAAAAAAAATCTCAAATCCCCTAAATCACGGGAGATACAAGCGCATGTGGCCCCTCCTTACCGCAATCTTCTTCTTTTTTCTGCAACCTTCCTTTTTCTATTCTGTAACTGTGCGTAATTATTTTGTCCTACAAAAATTGCGCATAGATCCAAATATGAATTCGAACAATCCATTTTTAATTCACATGCTCAACTAAAATAAAATTATTATATACACAACATCTAGCAAGCTAAATGAGCCGTGAACTTTGGCGATCTAAAACATGTTACACGCTAACACGTTACATATTTAAGTGTTTATATTATGCTAACTCGATTAAAACTACACTATATAAAAGGGATAAGCACAAAAAGATTAAGCACGCAGATACGTGTATTTTAGAAAGTGACGTACATGCAAACGTATGAGAAAAGAAAATGTTACAAAAAATGTTTAAAAATCATCCTAGCATGATATGTCACGTTGTGACAAACAAAGGAACATTAGTTTGTTGATTACAATTTAGATCATGCATGCAAGCTAGATCTAATAGGATATGGAATTAGACCTAATTGGAAAATATTTGCCTTCTCCTTCTATTACCTCCTAGAAGAAATATGTGATAACAATCATCTAGATCTACGGCTCACAGTCATTTGGAGGTACCCAGCGAAGCCCAAAGCGGATGGAGATTGACAGCACTGAGACAGAGAGAAAAGACAACAGCAACACACTCGCAAGCGCTCGGGTCAGGCGGAGGAGGCAGCGGAGTTCGCAAGCGTTCAGGCGAGGCGGAGGCAGGTGGCTCGCGCTCCGGTGGGGCTTAGGTGGCGGCGCAATTCGCTGGGGCGGCAGCGGCTCGCGCTCGGACAGGCACTGACGGCTCGCGGCCCGCGCTCGGTGGACGAGGGAGCGACGGCACCGGCGGCTTGCGGTCCGGTCCACTCTCGAGGGCAATGGAGCGACGACGCCGGTGGCGAGAACAAAAAGAAAAAGATGATAAGGTGAGGGCAAAATGGTCTTTTCGTGCGCAGTGAGGAGAACTATCCCGTGTTATCTGGGTCACGGGGGGATTTCGGGATTCTTATATTCCGGCCCCTAGATTTTGAAAATCCCATCCATTATCTCCCCCGTTTGGAGTCTCTCCAAAATCCAAGGGCATCCAGACGGGTCCTCAGCCATTCAGTTCGTGGACCGAGCAAGAGCAATCGGCGTCATCATCACACATCAGGGCCCTCTAAGGAGCTAGAGTAACGAGCCGCCGCGAGGACTGGCGGTGCGATCCGCTCGCGCGCCCGCAGCACACGGCTTCTTCTTCTTCTTGTACGTACCTGTGGCCTGTGGGGGTGTCGAGCGGCGGGCGGGTGCGCCGTCGGCGTCAATGGGAGACTGGGACTGGTCCTGGTCAGGATGATACTGGCATATAGCTGATGAGCACCAAACAGTGCGGTGAGACACGCGGAGGTGGAGGCAGCTGCCAAGTAGCCATTGTGTGGGGCCGTGCCTTGCTTCATGATGTCATGCAAATCCACTTCTTTTTGGCTCACCATCGATCTAAAACGCCTTTTGCGGGCGGCACGTGCGCACCTCCCTTTTTCTACGACGTGCGGACTTGGGTATGTAGCGGGCCGGCGACGGACGACGGGCGGCGATGCAATGGAGCCATTGGATCCACGACGGCAGAGTGAGTGCTGGGCCTGCTAGGGACGTACTGAAGCTCTGCGTCCTCTGGAGCATCTCATCTGGCAGGTGCAGTGGTGGCAGTCCGCGAGCGAGGCATGCATGTCACACATCCGTCCAACTGATCGCGCTCTGGTTGTCAGCACAGCACGGCGTCGCGCGCCCGGATCGGTACGTCGTCGCCTTCGTGCTGTTCCAAACTTGCAAGCACGATGGACGTACTGAAAGGCCCCAGCGATGGCAGCAGATCGATGACCTTTCAACGCCACGTTGATCAGCAGCCATCAGACCGTCGTCAAATTACCTCACCGATCGAATTGAACATGCATGACGGTGCTATAGTAGTACTACACGTGCATGACGAGAGAGAGAGGAGACTGACGAGAAGAGAGAGGAGACTGACGAGAAGACGTGATCAGGTTCCGACAAAAGTTGGGAGTGCCGCACTGTGTCCAGAAACGCCGAGCACGGACGCCTTGGAATTGAAGGAGCTATGATGTGGGATGTAGGAATGGGGAAACTTCTCTCTTTTAGGTTGGTCGGCTTGCATGTTCTGTACGATAGCACTGACCGGTAAATCGCTTGTCAAGACAACGTGAATTCCAAATCCTTTGTCAATCCCTGTAGTTTGATCACAAGGAGGTGCATACAATGCCAAATTTGTTTTGATTAATTTGCTTAGTTACTGCTCTATTCTCGAAGCTGTAGTTGTCGAGTTCACATGGTACTGAACTGCTGATGGACTGATGGCAACAGAATTAGTGGGACAGTCAAGTGAGCAACCACAAATAGTGATTAAGGTCAGGGTTACAAACTGGCATCTTGGTGTGTGGCATCTAAATTAGGTGACCTTTTGTATTAAGGCGTGATCCCAAGTTCAGATCATAGTTCATGGGCCTGCCCAACAAGCACTGCTGCATTCACAGGGAGCCTCAAGACACACAAATTGGCAATGGCTGTGGGTGATACTTGTGATTCAGGATTCGATCAGGTGGGGTGTGGGAAGAGATCATTCCTCTTTTAATGATTTATTGTGGCTTCTGGGTTGGCAAATACTCCATCCGTTTTCATTTGTTTGACGTTCCGACAAAGAACATTAGCTCGTCTCCAGTACACATGTCTGGTTAGAAACGTCAACCGTTAGCGAATGCTGAATGTTGGTAGTATATGTTCGTAGGATCAATGGAAATATATGAAACAATATAAATAGTCTTCCTGAACCTAAAACGGAGTTGAAATTAATTCTATTGAATTTTCATCTGTCAGTCGCTCTCTTGGCTTTTTAATCATCATTGTTACAATGTGACATTTTTAGGCAGTATTTTTTTTTTTTGACATGACACGTATTGATACAGCAATACGTTTTCCCCTCATTTAGCTACTAATGCTGGAGAGTTTGTTAATCACAATCTTTTTTGGGCTTTTTAGTACAAAAACCTCCGAGTGAAGGTACAATGGGAATCCAGATACTGATTCCAAAAGCCTCTGAGTGAAGGTTTGCTAATCACAATCTTTTTGGCCTTTTATCTATAATAGTTGTACTTTGATATGTCTGTCATTATAATTCTTCTTGTTCTTATATGTATCTGGCATGTGTTTTGTTAGCACATCAGCGTTAAAGAAGTATATACCACAGACCAAATGTCCAATATCTTAGTTTAAATTTTTAATTTTTTTTTTGTTGCCATTAAAGTGAGTTAGATTTGCCATCAGTTTCTCTTATTTGTTCCTCTTGCATAGTTGGTATGACTTGAAGACTCTGGTGTTGGGAAGAGATGCATCGTTCTCCGCTTTGTCCGTGCCCAGTTTGACCCTACTTCCAAGCTTAAACCATCAACTAACGTTTTTGGGTTTCATGAACGGTAGACATATCTGCACTTCACCTTTTCTTCATGTGCTATTTCGCTTCAACTTCTTTCATAAAAAAATGAATTTAAGTAACTGTTGGTGCATCATTTTTGTCACAAACATTGACATTAGAGAACTCCACAACAGTGAAGTTTGAAGTATGGGATACTGCTGGCCAAGAGAGGTACCTATTAGGACTTTGCTTTAATTTTAAGTTTTGACATGTAACACATATTTGCATTGATCTGCCTAAAGAAATTTCATGAAAGAAGTACCCACTTATCCTCAGTTTCAAGTAGTACTTGACCTATTTCATATGAAAGCATAGTATGTTGAGCCGGCGGAACAGTCCGGAAGATCGACAGCCAAGGTCACCGACAGTTGGGCCCCGCTCCATTTTGAACAAGACCCAAGCTCCCAATTCCAGATGATCGCGGGAAGACAGCCTGCCTCGGATCCGATGGTCCTGGAGGTAGGGCTGCTTAGCGGTCACCGTGGCGCAACGGTCAAGACTGGACGATCGCCACCTGTGGTCGCAGACTACTGGATGCCACCTAGTTTTGATCAAGACCCAATCTCTCTTGGCGAGGCGATCGCTGGAGGGCAGCTGCCCTCGGATCATATGGTCCTGGAGGCAGGGCTGCTCAGCGGCCTCGATCATGCGGGAGCAACTGTCATCCAGGATGAGATGGAGGTCCCACCGTCCTCCCCAATGAACACACACACGGCTGTGCCTTCGGCCCAATGCATGGATGCCAGGCCACAAGCGGAAGCGGCCGACGGCACGGCAACGGGCGGTGTTCAGGCAACGCCGAGCACTGAGGACACGCCCACACCAAGGGAGGCTGCTAAGCGACTAGCCAGGTTCACTAAGGAGGTCCAGGTAATGAGGCAGCCACCTCTCATCAACTCCTCGCCCAAGCAGAAGCCGGTACCAAGGCGGACCAATATGCCCATTAGAAGCAGAAGGATTGCTGCTCAGCAGATGGACCATATCCCGGCGTTCAAACGCGGTGAGGTGCTGCTCATGAAGAAGATGAGGATCCTGACACCTTCAGCACCGATTTCCTCTGTGGCCAAGCGTTCGTACGAGTTGTACTTTCAGGGCACCCTATCAACATCAAATGTCGAGGCTCTTGATGAGCTGTTCCTAGCATCTAAGGCGATGACCGGTGGAGCAGCTCGCCGGCCTTCGGCCATGGCGCCATAGGCCCGCGCGTAGTTTAGGTTGATCCTAATGAATCCCAAGGTTGTCATAGTGAAAATGTAGCCCTATGAGATAACTGTCGGGCTGGGAACGACCTCTCTTGTATTTTAAAATTCTATCTTCTTAATACAATGATACGCAATGCTCTAGCGTATTCGAGAAAAAAATAAATTTTCTACAAAATTCATGGAAACCAGTCATTTTTCAGGTATGCTCCTTCCTCTTTACTACCGAGGAGCTGGTGCTTCAATTGTTGTCTATGACAAAACCAGTCCAAAATCATTTAACGAAGCACAATACTGGGTTAAGGTATTGGGTGCACTCCCTTCTACTAGTATAGTGCACATGCTAACGCCACGACATGATTTTAGGGATACACATGAAAACTTGAATTTTACATATACACATTAATCAAAAAGTCAGACTTCGCACTGTTGATGATCCTTGAAATTTATATATACACATTAATCTAAAATTTATATATACACATTATAATCATTGAACAGCTCTACGCTTCCTCTGATTCCGAATCTTATAGTGAAGATGTCACTGAGCGTGTTGCCGCTGGTGATGAAACTTGATGATGACAACCTTTCAGTGAAGACTACCTCAAGTTGCTCAGCAGCAGAACAGCCTCCACTTTCAGTAAAAGTACAAAACAGGTCCAACATCTTGTAAAAAATATAATCCTTCTGAAACAGGTCCAACATCCTGTAAAAAAATAGACCAGAAGTATTTACGCAGCTGATTAAAATTATAGAGAAGCATATGTTTTTTTGAAATTCATTTGCACCTGAACCATATAAGGGATTATATAAGCTCGAAACATATATAGTAGGGAATCATAATTTATGGACTTAGATCATCTCCAAGAGTACCCAAAACACTCTCCCAATCCAGGACATTTAGCATTATTGAAAATGAAAAAAAAATCTCCAACAACTCCTAAAAAAGCACCTCCCAATCTTTTGACACTTGGGAAAATCCACGCTAATGCGCGCAAAGATACGCACACCCGATGTCGCGAGATCCGGATCGCGACCTCGCTTTCTCCTCCTTCGCGCCACAGAATTGATGTCAGTATGTCAGTACGCCACATAATTGGGAGAGAGAGAGAAAGAAACAAAGAATTCAACAATTGTTCTTTGTTTCACCAAATGTTAAATTATAATTTCATAGGAAATAAAGAAGAACAGCTGTTGGCTATGGCTAAATCTATCAGGAAAACATAACTTGACTCTAAATCAATCAATGATTTTATATACCCATGGTGCCTGCATAGGTTATCAAAGCCACAATATTTCTTTACTGAAAACAGCATGGGTGCAATACCTTTGCAAAATACTTTGTTGGGTTTTCCGCGCATTTGAGGATAGTCAAAAGTGCAAGTTCAAAGTTTCCACATGTGTCGCTCTTGATAACCTATCATATATAAAGGGCATCGTAAAAAATTGCAGAGAATAAAAAAATGCTTATTCCATAAGTGTACTGAAGAGAAGTGTTACCATCTCTAATTTCTGGTCATACATATGATGGTAAACAGATGAAACAGATGCCAAGTGTACCCAAACAAGGACTCAAAACCCCCACTAATCTGAATCCTAAACACAAAGATCCCTCGTATAAGCGAAAATCCATCAACTCTGTCTAGAGGCAGATACGTAGAATAAAATGCGAGATCTGCTAGCGATAATGGTTATACCTGTGATAGTCACCCTTCATCTACCACAGGTGCGGGATCTCCGTCGCAGATGCGGGCGAGCTTGGCCTCGATCTTGGAGCGGTAGGCGCGGATGGAGGCGGCATGCGCCTCGTTCCCGCGGCCCTCCTCCTACTGGATGGAGGAGATGATCTGCCACGAGACGGCGTCGGGGGAAGGCGCTTGTTCTTTGGTGTCGCAAAGGTGATAGAGGTGAAAAAACGAATGGTTACATGGTGAGTGCATAGTACTTCTAATCCATATACGATCTCCGTCGACAAAAATAGTAGAACAGTAACTCACAGACATATCACACGTCTTTGCTCCTATTGAGGACGGCAAGCTCCTTTGAACAAAGATCTGCAATAAGTGTGAAAAATAGAAAATATTGATATCACGAAGCAGAGGGACCAACAAAATAAGAAATCATGCTTGTATCAAAATGCAGCCACATTAAACATTGGGAATAGTTTTTTTTTTAGGGAAACATTGTGAATAGTCACCTCTTTGTTGGCGAAGAGGATGCGTCCAGATGCATATGGTCTAGCTGTTGTTGTTGGGGCAAGCAAGGAACCTCACCTGTCATCTCGTGCTATGCAGTAATAATTTTTACTCATCAATCCAGCCAAAATATGATGATGAGATATATCACGATCAGATCTGAAACAAAGGTATTCCTTCAAATAAAAAAGATCTAAAACAATATAATTTTTTACCAGATTGGTGCTAGTGTGGAGCGGCTCACCTGGATAGGCTGCATACCTTTTTCTTCACAGCTGTTCGTCGGAAGCTCGGAGCAGTTCGGATCGAGCCGTCGAGGCTGCTTCCTCGGCGGCCTTGAGGCTCCGGGCTGGCAGCACCAGCCACGTGCTAGCTGTCTCCGACCTAATCCCCAACGTGATGATGGTGGTGGTGTGGCGGAGGTCGCGCCCGCCGGCAGCCATGGCCTCCTCAGCCGTGGGGCACGGTTGGTGGAATCGGCCCCGGCGTGGGATTTGGGAGCGCTCCCTCGCTTCGGCGACGTCGATGAGCACTCCCTCGGCCGAACCCGCGGGAGGCGGCCGGCGCAGCAGGAGGCACCCCAACGCCGCGGTCAGGTGATAGAGATGGTTGGTGAAGGATCAGAAGCTGACCATCAACGACGAAGGAACTGGCGTTCGTTGTTCAGGGGAGGATAGGAAAGGACGATAGAAAGGAACCACGCGGTGGCTCGTGATTGAGGGCTTTCTTGCTTTGCCTGAGGGACGCGATCTCCGCGCGTGATTGAGGGGAGGCAGTGTGATCGCGCGGAGTGCGTGCGGTGGCTGGGCGCGGGCGTGGGAGATGTGAGGGAGGGAGGGAGGGAGAGGACCATACACACGATCATGTCCGTCGGATTTGAGTAAGGAGGGAGATGAGACTCATAAGCAATCTCGATAGTTGGTTTCTATGTTGCTGTTTTTCTGGGTATAATTTTTAGGGTGCGTGGAGTGAGGGTGGTTTTATGGGATAGACATAGCAATGAAAACAACGGTGCATCAGTAGGGTAGATTCAGTTATATGCTGATTAATTACTTGTGAAATGACGTATTGCGTGCACTCCCTTCTCAGGTAGGCAAATAAGATTACTCCCCCGTCCCAAAAAAAAGCTCGCCTAGGATTTTATATAGGTCAAACTTAAGTTTGATTAGGTACGTAGAAAATATATTAACAACATTTGTATCTGCAAATAAGCTTATTATAAAAATATATTTAACTATTAATCTAATGATACTTATTATGCAACATAATTATGAATTTTTTTTTTGTATATATTGGAATGGTATGTTTTTCATTGAGACATGTATAAATAGCTGATAACATAAACCAACTCTTTGAGGTCTATCAGGAGCACATTGCGCATTGTTTTTGACAAAGTTACTAATGAGAACATGAAAAGTACCTAGGCTCACAATTTTAATTTTTGGAGTGTTGCAGAAGCGTTGGCCAAAACACTGAAGACTGGCAGCAAGAGAAGTGGAAAAGGATCAGATGTTTAATGCCTTGACTGCACTGCTGATAAGTGTTAGCACCGATTTTAAGGACAAAATCGAATGCACAATATATATATACCAGGATCAATTTATTCATACATATGTCGAGTTCATTACAGTATCATAGCAGATTTGCTTACATAACGAAAACATTATTAAAAAATGACCCGTGGGTCTGAAAGAAAAACTCATAAACTACTAGCGGAAAGGGACGCCATCTCCACAGGAAGGTTGACCAGGGGCAGCACCAGCCTAGTACACGTCGTCGGGGTCGAAGGCACCATCTTCAACGTACTCCTCCTCGTCATCTCTAGCGTCTAGGTAGGGTAGCAGAGGGGACAAAGAGAAAGGGTGAGTACATCGAAATGTATTCCATAAGTGTAGGAAAAGTATGATATGAGGGTCAACACAAGGAAAGGCTTACAAGGTTTGATATAAGCACTTAAGCGACACATCCTATTTTCTCTTAAATCCTTAGCACCTAATTACTAGGTAAATTATGCCTTCTCCTCAAGAACCAACACTGGATTCCATCAAGCACCACACTTGGAGTCCATCCAAGCTCCCAACTGAACCACCCATTCCCTTACCAAGGGAACCACCCATCCAAACCAGAGAGCCAACTAACCCCAAAGAAGTCCAAGCCCGCTCTTGACCATGAGCACGGTTGATATACCAGTTTTACACTCTGCAGAGGTTGAACACTTTCACCATGAGTCATGTTTTCCCCATCACGCTTCACACTACCTAGGTGCTTAGCGGGGTCACACTACAAGGCCTTTACAAAGCCCCTCCAAGCCTGTTTTACACCTTCTCTAAGGTTTCACCGCTAACAGTGGGTACCAACACCACTGCAGAAGTCCCCTCTTGAGCCAAAAAAACCGACCCGATGTAGCATAACTTGGAGGAATTAATTAATTAGCTAGGTCCAGCCCATCCAGCCTCATGGTTGCGCTGTTAAGCCAGTTACATGATCCGAGAATCGGTCCTTAGAATCTAGAGCAGGTATGAGCACCAACCTCAAGGAACCCCATTATGTACCAAAACCAAATAATCATCATACCAATCCGTCCATCCTGCTCAGATTCCCTAATCACCATGTTGCTAGAAAGATTACCATCCCATGTTGCATAGATCATTAGTTAAGATTATCATTTATAACCTTCCCAACCCAACCATGACAGCAAAACTAAGCATGACACTACCCATCCAAAACCCAGGTTACAAGGATGATGTAAACAAGTTCTAGTAAACCTTAACATGGAATTCAAATTAAGACTTTGCATGCAGCTAATGGTCTAACTAAACTAATTCAAAATAAAATAAATGTAGAAGCAAGTATGGTCAAGGACACTTGCCTCAAAACGCTGTTCAGACATTTAATCTTTCCTTTAGATTCAACCTTGATCAACTTCTTCTTCGATAGGTAACAACCACGGGAACAAGCATAACAAAAGAACCTAAAACAGTACATCAATCATAAGAAAACATACTATAAACGGTTGCTAATGTTTAGGGCTTGTTTCTACGATCACGTGAGTGCAAAAACCACCAAAAACGGAGCTACGGCTCAAAAAATACGAGCTTTCGAAGTTTTAGGGTCATTTTGGTAATAAAAGGATTTATTTGCAAAAAGTAAAACATTTGGACCACAAAATTATTCTTATAAAGCTAAAAGATTTATTTGCAAATCTATCATTTTTCTGGATTATTTTATTAACTAAAACACTTTAATGACAACTTAAATGGATTTATGCCATCATTAATAAATTTTAATAAAACAGAATAAAACCTATTTTATATTTATTTTTGTGAACCAAAATAGATTATTGACATTATTAATTGAAATAATGACATCATTAACCTTTTATTATGGAAGTTAATAAAACATTTTAAACATCAATTTATAAAAATCGGCCTGTTCGCTTGAACTTATCAGTCATGGTATAATGTTTTTCTCTCATAACAAATCAACTTCAACCGGCTTATCAGCCATAGAAACCATCAGCCGAAACAGAATTAAATGTAGATCACAGGGGCTAGCTCGTAAGAACTGCATGACTCAGGAAATAGTAGATGGATTACAAAGAAGCGTAGGGGGTAGATTGCAAAAATGCCGGTGACTGGTCTGTTGACCTGCTGAGGTGGCAGAGACTGGACATGTGGCCACCTCTGATTGGTGGGAGGGTGCTGACTTGGCGGTACGCTTTGACTTGGTTGATTGGGTCAATAGCGGATCTGGGCCGCCCATCGCAGATCGGACGGCCGAGGGGTGGCTCCGTCCTCAGGAGGTCGCACGCCAGAGTGGAGCTGGAGCACCAGAACGGCGGCGGGTCATCGGGGCTTGGTCGGAGACGGCGCTCCAGTGGCCGAGGTTCGACGGCAAACGACGGAGGGAGAAGGTCACGGAGAGCCTCTAGTGGTGACCTCGACGGTGGGGAGGCAGTGAGGAGGGAGGTCGAGGCAGTGAAGGGACTTGCAGCGAGGAGTGGTGCGGCGGGCGCGGCGTGGTTCTGCGAGCTCGAGGGAGGAAGCGGTGAGGGCGGTGGCGGTTTACAGAGGGAGATCGAGAGCTCGGCCGAAATCGGTCATGGCGGTGGCGGCGGCGATTGAGTCGAGGCGCTAGAGCCAGAGAGAGGTCAGGGGAAGGGGCGGGGAAGCTGTGGCGCGCCGTTGCGGTGCCGAGGTGGTTCTTATAGGTGTGGAGACGAGGGGAGGAGGAAGCGCCGCGGAGCTCGGCCATGCCGTCAATGGCGTCCGGAGAGGGTGGATCGGGGCGCGACTGAGCTGGAGGAGGAGAGGAGTGGCTGGGGATTGCGGCGCGCTCGGTCTTCGCAGGCGGAGCCCGCTTGTCTGTGGGAGCGGAAGGAGTGGGGGTGGGCTGCAAGCGATGGGCCGGCCTGGTGTGTGGAGACTAAATTATGAACTTATTTCACAATAAAATTTTAAATACTTTATTTAACTTGTAAATAGAGGAAAAACTGATTCGCATCTAAACCGGATTTTAATAAACTATTTTTCACTCAATAAAATTAAATGCAAAGCCATATATGCAACACCCCATCAACTTAAATTGTAAGAATTACTCAAAATTCACAATTTGCACAATTTGATTTGCTAAAAGACTATTTAAATCTTGGAAATTTTAAAAAATTCACAAAATCATTTATTTTATTTAGTGTTTTCTACTCACAATCCAAAATGAATTTTTGGGGTGTGACAACTAGTTCCTTCAGTATCGAGAAACCCCCGATCCCAATCAGGATCAGGGTGGTCTAAACAAAGCAGGATCAAGACCATATGATAGTCAAATCTTCTGCAGTTATCATTTCTAATGCGTTCCCCACGTGATGGAAATTTTTAGTATGGCTGCTGGAGTGTGGCCCATCCAAAAGGAACTCCCAGAACTTTTGAATTTGGTTTGGGTCATTGTCTCTGGTGTGCTAGTTGTCTTATTCTTGGAGATTTAAAAAACAGATTTACATGTCAAATCATTGATAAACTGCAAAAGCATTTTTTTACAGGTTAGGTGTAGCAGGTCTGATACTTTCCTATTCTCACCACCACAACCAAAAGTAACCTTTCTGTGTGGATATTCTGACCAGCACACTGAAATGTTGAGCACATTTGCTCCCAGTTTAGGTCTTTGGGAATTGGGGCAATCATCTTAACCTAATGAATATCTCTGGCAGGAAATGGCGAAGAGGTTGCCCAGGCCATCATCATCTTTATGACTTGATCTTGATCAGCGCAGGTTGCCTTTTAAGCAGCCTGATCAAGGAACATTGCTGTAATATACACTAGCAGTTAATTAAAGCATAAAACCTTGTGCTCGGCCGGTGTAACACGGTGTAAGGTCTACGCCTTCTGTATTGCTCGCATCAGGACAAGCACTGATGCCTTCGGTATTGTTTGCATACGTAGCTGATTGTGTTGAGACGTGGGAATCCGCGTTTCCAGTTTGGTCTAAGGCCGCGTTTAGTTACCTCCGAATTCCAGAATTCGACACTATGCAAAAAGAAGATTCCTTGTCACATCAAATTTGCGGTACATGCATAGAGTACTAAATGTTGACGAAATCAAAAACTAATTGCACATTTTAATTGTACTTTGCGAGACGAACGTTTTGAGCCTAATTAGTCAACAATTAGACAATTATTACCAAATAAAAACAAAACGACACTGTAGCTGGCGATCACACAAGTGAAGGAACTGATACGCAGGTGCCACCGCTATTTTCTAACGCAAAATCAACTGTATTATCTGGTGTTCGTGGTCTCATAAAAATTGTTCTCCAGCCTGTTTTGATGACCTAGAGCTAGTTACAAATTGGGCTAAAAATTAGGTCAAATTAGTTAAAATTGGCTAACAACTAGTTGAAGTCTTGACTAAAAAAATTAGCATGTCTCTTGTTTGGGTGCACTAGGACAAATTTTAGCTAATAATTAGCTCTTGAATCCACCAAGGTTTAAAATTGTGGGCTATAGCAAATAACGGCATCTTTTTTCTATGACCTATAAAGCTAAAGCGAAATTATGACAGATAATGTTTTTTCTAAAAAAACTATGAAAAATATAAGTAATTGATTAAAAAAAAACATGACAATCATCAAATTTGATGGACACAAACATGTTTCCAAGGTTATAGGAGTCTAGGAATAGTAAGAAAAAGTGATCACGTGTGGATTACATTGATCATCTTTACTATAAGATATTACTGCTGTGGCAAATCAGCAAAAAATGTCTGAAATTGGTGTTTAGAAGCCAGCAACATATTTCTAAAAAAATTATACAACCGTTTGTGGACTTGAAGGGGAAAAATTTGGCGATGCCCATTAGCGAAATATGTATATCATGAAGTAAATGGCTTCTTAAGAACATAACCCGACACTACAATTCATATGTAAAGTAGGGCCGATCTGGTAAATGCACTGGTTTGGACATATAGGGACTGGATCTATCAAATGACACTAAATATTTTGGTGAAGAAAATCAAAATTGCATTGAAATAATAGGTAAGCCTCAATCTAAGAGCATCTCCAACAGGCTACCTAAACCCACTACCTATCCTATATTTGGGTAGTGGAGGGCAAAAAACGCACTCCAGCAGGATACCCATCAGACTACCTACTTTTGTTGGCCCAACAAATTCTCCCTCCACTACCTACATCTGTTGGGCCAACAAATCCTGCTACCTATTTTTCCTTCGTCTCTCTCCTCCCGACACGCACGGAAACGCCCGACATCGCCCACACCTGCACCTTGCCCTCACCTGCACCAGCCCTCGCGCGGCCCTCCCTGGCGGCGGCCCATCCCGACGGCAGCCACCCCATCGCACGGAGGATCCCGGCGCTGGCCTCCCCATCGACGGCGGATCCCGATCCACCACCTCCATGCCGCAAGGGAGCCGCGCGCCCTTCACCGGACGCCGCAAGGAAGCCGTGCAATGGCATGGCAGCGCTGCTCCTCCGGCTCCCCTCCCCTCCCGACGGCGTGCAGACTCCCAAGCGTGGCGGCCCCCGCCGGCAACTCCGCCTTTGCTCCCCATGGCCGAGTTGGCCAATGGAGACAAGGAAGACGATGACACGTGGGTCCCCTATGTCATAGACTGCTAAAATAATTTTAGGAGCCATGTTTTAGGTAGTACCGCTGGAGTTGGAGGCAAAATATTGGTAGTACAAAAATAGGTGCCTATCTAAACAGACATTTAGGTAGTCTATTTTAGGTAGTACTGCTGGAGATGCTCTAAGTCTGCATTATCTATTGTACAGGCCATTAGCTTCTGACTGTAAGCCAGATTGATCATGTTCCTATTTGCAGTCTCTCTCTGTTAAAGGAGATATCATGGTTTAAAATCAAAACGTGGTGTCATGATATTATAGTGCATGTTTCAAAAACACACACTGCGATTTCGGAAAAGAAGATCAAACGCACGAACCTTGTTTTGCCCAATTTCCACAAACAATTTGTGCTTGTAGGTACTGCTTCATTTTTTTCTACACAAGACATACTGGCAGCAACATGTATTTGGCTTGAAATGCATTGCAATCTGTCCCATGTAAACCAAAGCATTAGGAGTAACATCAGATGCTAGAACCTTCTTTTCCCTAATATCTGCAAAAAAAATTCTGACTGTAGGTACTGATTCTTTTTTTTACAAAAGCCATACTGGTAGAAACATTTATTTGGCTTGAAATGCATTGTAAGCTGTCCCATCTAAACCAAAGCATTAGGAGCACCGAAGCTGATTACAAATATGTAGAACAAAAGCAACAGGCTAATGTTATGTTAATACTGAAACCGAAACATTCTTGTTTTGTTATAAAGCCTCTCTTCAGAACTGGATATATGGATTTGGGAGGTATCAATACATGGTATCGAATGGTGTAGCAAAGATAAGCACAGTGGGATATCAAAGGGCATCAAGAAACCAAAATGGGAAATTAAATGGCATAAGAGGAATTGAGCACTGCTTGGACCGGAAGGAAGCTAACTGTAACACCTACCAAATAGATGTCGGATTTCCAGTTCAATTGTAATGTACAAACAAATAAACATGTATGTAGAGATGTATAAATGGGAATATTTGTTTAAGTAACAATATCAAGGAGATGGAAGTGCATAGTGTCTCGATAAAAATATGAACACGAAGCTGACCTTATATATTTATTAAGGAAGCATTGAGGCATTTTTTTTAGCAGCCAGCAGCCACTGGAGGTATGTGCAGTTGAGCACAAGTATAACCTCAGAACAGAAACGTTGTTGATCCTATGACAGCAATAGTATGGGGAGCAGACTCACCTTGTGTTCCCTGATAGCCTCATAGTGGCCCTCAGATGGTGAAACCAAATTTTCGCCTAAAAATAGCCATGTGGTTACCATGAGTGAAAAGGTAATGTCTTATTTTCTCTGATTTCAGCAACGTTTGCCAAGAAAAAGAAAATGCCCATGCTGCTGAACAGAACCCAATTACCAGGCAGAAGTGACCTTGCTGATCAAATGGGCCAAACATGAACTACAGCTGAATCAGTATATCTCATATGAGCTAGAGCTGCCAGCAATTTGAGAAGCAAATTTTGATTTTTCAATGTGATTTTCAAAGCAAAACATCTAACAACACACAAAAGTATAAGAAAGAAGTTACTTACCTCACTACCTGTATGGAATAGTTGAGGCCGAGATGTGACAGAATATCAAAGGTAAGATGGGGACACCTGCAGTAGAAAAGACCTGTTCTTATAAGAATTTAAAGTTTAGTCCCTATCACATCGGATGTTTGAACACATGCATGGAGTATTAAATATAGACTAAAAAAATAACTAACTGCACAGATTGCGACTACTTTGCGAGACGAATTTTTTAAGCCTAATTAGCCCATGATTCGACAATGTGGTGCTACAGTAAACATGTGCTAATGATGGATTAATTAGGCTTAATAAATTTGTCTCACGGATCACTGAGGACTTGTGCAATTTGTTTTATTATTACTATCCAAACACTCCCATGGGACACCCCCATATGACACCCGATGTGACAGTCCTAAATTTTACCCCTAGATTTAATCACCACCTGAACAAAGATTGAACACTCAGGCCAGCTTACCATATTGCTGAA